CAGAAAGGAGGTATCGCCAGCTCAAATTTCCACAGAGCAGCCACGATGAACAGCCACGCTGCTATTGGTCAGGACACTGCACTGCTACTCAGATGCTGCAGCAATACCTCAGTTTCGGTAGTATGGGGAGGGCTACCTGCGTCTTTCCCTCGATTTACCTGCAAAAACGTCAACTTTTACGTCTATATTCACTGCATTTGTGTTGCTCTTACCTCTGGGGACAAGGGAAAGCACAGTTCAGATCATATTTGAGGGGATTTAAGCTCTGAGGACCAGGTAACACTACATATAGGTAACAGTTTAATAACGTTAAAATTATATCAAGGAGATTTGATTTTAACAAATTTATTTAAGCCTCCTTGAATATATTTGCATAACTTTTAGCCTTTTAGCTCTGGGCACCAGATAATGCACCTTATAAATAGTATAGAAACTCCTTGTACTTCCTAGAACCTCCTTGTATTAAAGCTGATATTTGTATGGCTTCTAGTACCTATGGCAGGGTTGGACAAGTCCCATTGCCCACTTGCCCAGGGCAAGTAAAAGTACTGTTCGGGCAACTGAATATCCCCCTGGACTTGCCCGATTGGGCAAGTAAATTTTTTGGAAGCAAAGTATTAGCCCCTGCAGTATTTCGACCAAGTTTCAAACAATTTTGATAAATAAAGCATCCAACATTATAAACTCTATTATAATAAAATAATTTCCTTTCTGCTAGTAAAATGCATAGAAATGCGTCATATTTTGGGCAAGTGAAAAGTTGGTTCGGGCAAGTGGAAATGACCAGGTACTTGCCCGATACGGCAAGTGGATTTTTGAAAACTTGTCCAACCCTGTATGGGGACCAAATTTATTAACAGTAACGTTAATATTTGGTTACCAATATTTGTGTGTCACCGTGTGTCTTATAAGTCTTGGGATAAGACACCGTACAGGTAATAATTGCGCGGCTCTTAGGTTTGGGGACCAGGTAAGGTACCGTACAGGTAAAAATTGCGCGGCTCTTAGGTCTGGGGACCAGGTAAGGTACCGTACAGGTAATAATTGCGCGGCTCTTAGGTCTCGGGACCAGGTAAGGTACCGTACAGGTAAAAATTGCGCGGCTCTTAGGTCTAGAGACCAGGTAAGGCACTGTACAGGTAATAATTGCGCGGCTCTTAGGTCTGGGAATCAGGTAAGGTACCGTACAGGTAATATATGCACGGCTCAGATTTGGGACCAGGTAAGGCATCGTACAGGTAATAATTGTGCGGCTCTTAGGTCTCAGGACCAGGTAAGGCACTGTACATGTAATGAATGCGTGGCTCTTAGATCTGGGGACCAGGTAAGGCACTGTACAGGTAATATTTGCAGAGCTCTTAGCTCTGGGGACCAGGTAAGGTACCATACATTTGCATGCATGCATGTGGCCTCTTTTTATCTGGGGATCAGGTAAGGTATATTTGCATTGTCCTTTATCTGGGGACCAACTAAGAGACTACATAGCTCTTGAGACCTGGTAAGACCATACACTTCATATACGTTTGGTCTTTTGTACCTAATTTTTTGGTTATTGACATCCCTGTAAATATAATGCTGGCCTAGATTATTTCTCTTTTTTTTCAGTGCATTTGCCAAAAAGGAGAAACTGATCACACAGCAGGAGCTGGAGATGTCTATGCATCACATTCTGGAATTCTTGGAAGTGCCAGCTTTACTTCTCAACGAGAACATGAATGCTTAGCCCTATGTAACCCAAGCTCCGGGGGGCTCCCTACATAGTCCGCCACCTTTTCAGGGGCCGGCTGGATGTTGGGCGGCCGGCAAAAGCGATTTAATCAGGCTAATGAATGCTGAACCCTGACTTATGTTATAGTAATTCTGAAAGGTTGTTTCTCCAAACGGTAGAATAACTAGAACTTAGTAGAAGTAAATTTTTATGATGAACTGTACAAAAATTCTGCATTTGTTTGTTTGCTTGTTTGTTTTCTATTTGTCTGAGTAGCATGTACATGTATAACAATATTTATAAAACTGTTTAAGGCCATACCAATTTAATTAATTTCTTGGTTAACAGCTTCGCCCGCTTCATTTTTTTCTGATTTGCAAATAATAAAAAAATTCAGAATCTACCTCAAAATGCTCATATTTTGCCCTTAACAGTTAAAAACAGTCATTTTCATCCTACTTGTTACAGTTATTCCATCTTTCAATGCAATGGTATCATTAAAAGTTCAAAATCCATTGTTTAAATTTTGAACCAGCCTAGTGTGTTTACTTCATGGCTCCTATTGTACCATTTTGGGCCATAATAGGATGCCTAGGCCTGTTTTATTTTATTTTTCGCCCGCCCACTCCATTATTTTTCTAGAAAAATCTGTTAACCAAGAAATTAAATTGGTGTGGCCTAAGGCATAACATTTTATAGTAACTAGATTCATTACCTCTAGTACCTCATTTCCCGTATATTGATAATGCAAAGTATATTATCTTTAGCACAATTCAATTATTATTAAAGCTGAAAATACACCTTTTCACTCTTGTTTCAATAGACTTTTATTTTCAGTGTAGTTCAAGTCAGTATACAATACATGAACTGCAAATACACAGCATCAAAATCATGTATCCCACCATAATACTTGAACGCACGCCTGTCATTAACAATCCCAGTACTTCTAGTTAATTGTATCTGTATCTGTATAGCCGGTATAACCGCCTTTCGGCGTAACACACCAGCTGAATTGTAGTGACTGAGTAAAGACTAAAACGACTGTAGAATGAATGGTCTGTGCAGTTTGGAGGTAATGTAGGAATTAGGAATTTACTTGATGAAAAGGACAGCCTTAATCCGTTTAGGACTTTTTCCATGGTTGCACTCAAGCTTTCTTGAGGAACGTAAACCTTTGTTTAAAAAGTTTAGAGAAATCTATGCTTTCATGACGCAAATTTCAACTGAAAATAACTCGATGACCAAATACGTTATCAGATATGGAATTTATACAGTAACGTTATAAGCCTCCGTGAATATATCATCCGAATTTGAAAGAAATTCGTTCAGATTTAAGCGAAAAACGCAAACCGACACGTTTTAAGCTCGCGCAAAGCGAGGTTGCCTTCAAACGGCTATGTTTCACGTAGACAAATCTAGGCCGATTTTGACCGCATCACGCAAAGTTGCGTTTTCCTTTCTAGACCGAGAAGGAAATAATATTTTTGGATGAAACTTGGACAACAATATCCTGACACACGTATCTATCTCT